ACTCATACTCACACTCATGAACACTCACTCATACTCACACTCACCTCGTTCAAATGAGTATGAGTGAGTGTACTCATGAGTGAGTATGCCGGGCTATGGTGATGCTACATAGGCTCCCTCTTAGCGTTTTGCGTGATTTTAAGCATATATGTACAAAGGGAAAAGCAAAACAGACAAATACTATGTACATGAGTGATAGTCCGTGGATTGTCCGCGGAGAAATCCGAGTCATCATCGGGAAAAACGTAGGGTCTCAACTGTTCCGGTGGGCGATACTGGGAGCCGCGGAGCGGGCGAGGAGCGCGCCCCGAACAGATGTTGTGGGCAGCAGTGATGCAACGCTTTGAGGCACTTGTGGAACGGGCATCGACGACACCAGCTGTCACCACCGAGAAGGTGGCTTAGTGAGGGCGATGCGGAGCTCGATGACGGCTCGTGCGGGTAGGCGTCATAAGTCATGCGAGATCGGCGCAGGCGCGAACGTTGGTTAGGCGTGTGGCAGTTCGGGCTAGTTGGTATGACATCGTTGGTATGACTATCGTTGGTGAGACGTTGACGCTGTCTGCGTGGGGTGCTCGCATGGGCACGCAGGCCGGAGGTCACTGGAACGCTGTAGAGGAGGTGGCAGGGGGGTGCGTTTAGCAGAGATGGGCTGGCGGCGCGAGCTCGTGGTGTACCTAGATGGCACCGACACTGGCCCATCTCTGTCGCGACGACCTGCGCAGAACTGATGATAACGACGGCGTCAGTGAATGACGTGCGGAGAGTGCTGATCGGTTTCAAGTCCTTCGGTGCGGTGCCCAGAGATGTTCGGCAGCAAGTCGGCATCCACAGGAGACTTGGGCTGTGCCAGAATATGAGAAGGCGCATGTGTGGCTACGAGACCACCTTGTTCAGCCGGCACAGGAGAACTCAATTGGTTGGAGACGACATACTGACCATATGCTTGCGTGGCCGGTGGATCACAATCGATTCGCCCCACCGCAGGTAGAACTGGAGCGTCATCCGCAGTCGTTGCCATGTTGCTGGCGTGGAAGACGGCAGCTGTTTTCTTTATGGAGCCACACGTGGTGTCAGCGAACAGGTGACAGGCAGCGCCGGTTTGAGTGTCGCACACTGCGTCAGTAGGCGCTGAAGTCATCGGGTTCACCGACGTGTCCACAGGCACCGACCGGTCAACCGGAGACCAATCTTCGGGTGTCGTACGCTGCGATACGTCAGCGGAGTCGGTTGTCGTAGAACGGTAACCTACTTCGTTGTTGTGGCATAGCGCTGAACGAGATGCAGTCGCGGGGAACCGCGCGGAAGACAAACCATTCAGTCATGGCAGTACGTTTTCATAAACGTACTGTTTCGAAATAAACCCGCGTGACAGTACGTTATCAGAACAGGCGTTTTTCCTTCAGAATCAGTAAACATGTTGCTATTGGCGATCAGCGCAGCGGACTTCTTGTATTACGTCTGTTCACTTGGTTGATAAAGATGGAAGGAATGCTGTTTCATTAATTTTTTTCACTGTTTCCAGCACTTTAGCCTAATAAGTTTCCCTGAAATTGAGATTCGTGTATACACGTGTAGTAAAGCGCTTTCTTAAATGATTTTCACGTGTGTCAGCGCTACTTAATGCTAGAACATCACCCTGATGTGGTCCTGAATAACATATTTGTGGTGACAGCATAGATTCTCCTCAATAACTACGTCTCTATAAAGACGGATGTTCGAAAGAGTACAAATTAAACTGCACAAACTTTGCGAGTGAGTAGAAATAGTTTTCTCTGAATGTTCTGGATAACGTGTGTGTGTGTGTGTGTGTGTGTGTGTGTGTGTGTGTGTGTGTGTGTGTGTGTGTGTGTGTGTGTGTGTGTGTGTGTGTGTGTGTGTGTGTGTGTGTGTGTGTGTGTGTGTGTGTGTGTGTGTGTGTGTGTGTGTGTGTGTGTGTGTGTGTGTGTGTGTGTGTGTGTGTGTGTGTGTGTGTGTGTGTGTGTGTGTGTGTGCGTGCGCGCGAGCGTGTGTGTGAATTTTGCTCTTACAGATTGATATCGCGCTTGAACTCGCGACTGTTTTAGTGACATTGAATAGGCGTTTAGCTCACTCATCTTTCATATACTCTTTCAATAGTTGTTATTCACTCAAAGTACCCGAGTACAAGTATCTAGGACTTCTATTTACTGGCAATCTATCTTGGAGCAAACATATTCAAACAATATGTAATAAATCATTGAAAAAACGGGGCTATCTTCAGCGCACCCTTCGAGTAGCTCCTCAAGAAACAAAACTGCTCACGTACAAAACACTAATTCGTCCAGTCTTAAAATATGCATCTATTGTTTGGAATCTGTTTCATATCAACAATATTAACAGAATTGCGTCCGTTAAAAGAAAAAAACTATTTGTTTTATCTACCTTCGCTACGATAGGCACTTTTCACTCTCTTCCCAACTTTTTAATCTAAGTCTGAGCACTCTGCTAACCCGTAGCCACAAGAAAAGCTTAAAGATCAGTTCATGCATGCCTTGATTGAGTCGCCCCGTTTTGCCCAATTAAACCAGTTTCAGTTTTCTCAACCTTCCTGCATTCGTAGCTCGCATAATCTTAATATTTTGCCGTTTGAACCTAGAACTGGTTTGTTCAAATATAATTACTTTCCTGCAACAATTCAGCATTGGAATGCTTTGCATGGGTTTATTCGTGCCTTGCCAATGACCAAATTTTTGTCTGTGCTTGACATGTGATGCTATTGCCACTCCTGCCATAGCCCATGATGGCCTGTAGCATGTATGCATAAGTAAATAGTTAAATAAATAATAAAAAGTGGCTTGCCGGTTAATCTCTAGTCGCTTTCAAGCTCAATACATTACTTAAACCAGCACGCTTTTTTTACCCAAAAGGCAAAATAAAGCTGTTAAGCATGTAAAACCCGCCGCGCACGCTTTATATTTTAACAGGAGACGATGATGGCAATGAATTCACAGCCTCTGTACGCACACTCGCTTGGCCAAAGCGAGTGGCGTGACGGGGGCAGTGAGCAGGCCTGAAAATATTTTTTTCTAGGTGGCATTGTTTCGGCACACCGTTGGCGAGGACTTTGTGGTAGACACAGAGTTTCCTAAAACTCTATGTCTGTTTTTAACTAGAAGAGATTGTGGCGTTTCAATCTTTTAGCGACCATGGGATTGATTGGTTGTGCATGGATTTGCCTAGTCTTGGTATTTGTGTGTGGCAAATCGTACTTGTGGCTTCGTTTATGGCTGTGTTTCGGTTTTGTTTCGAAAGAAATAACCAACTTTTTTGAACTTCGTGACCCGATTTGAAAAGGTAAGCCTAAAAGAATAAGGGGTTAAGCGTAACCGATGTCCATTTGCTGACTTTTGTTTCGTCAGAAAACAGCTCCAGGCCACACGAACACACATGGAGCCACAAGTAGGAAGATTAGACAAATCGTCCCGTCGCGGTGGTCTAGTGGGTGAGGTACTTAGTTGCTGACCCGCAAGTCGCGGGATCGAATCCCGGCCTCGGCGGCTGCATTTCTGGTGGAAGCAGAAATGCTGTAAGCCCGTGTGCTCAGATTTGAGTGCATGTTAAAGAACCCCAGGTGGTCAAAATTTCCGGAGCCCTCTACTACGGCGTCTCACATAGTCATATCGTGATTGTGGGACGTTAAACCCCACATATCAATAAATCAGATTAGACAAATCTATGTACTACCCATCATTCCCATGCTCGCTGAAGCGCCGTGCTTTGCAGCTCCTAGACACTATAACGCCAGAGTTCCCTCTAGTGTACATTTCGGAAACTCTCTGGTAGTAACCCACGCTATGCGAAAGTTGGCGATGGTAAGACGAAGTGTGAACACTGATTAACACGTGTGCTAGTGGGCCCCTAAACGACAGCCAGTTCAAAGGCAAGACCGTATACTTTCCCTCTCGCCTTCACTACTCTTCCTACAAGCGCTATCTTCTACTCGCCACCTATTTCTTGATGAAACACGTTGAATATCAGCATTGAGCGCTGAGCCAATCAAGATTTTGAGTTTTTCGAGTACACCCAACCATCTCTGCCCACACGGTCGCAAACATAAAAAAAAACCAAGTGAAATCTGTTTATTGCGCACAATATATTCATGCCCGAAAAAATGGGTCGGCCATGTGATTGCATCGAAAAACATGGTAGGTGACAAGTCACGACATATACATCTTGTATATCAACCGATCGAGAGTTTACTATATCTCAAGGTCACGTGAACCAACAGCTGGCGTCACGAAATACGTCGCAAAGACAGGAGATGTTTTGATTTTGTGGGGTTTAACACCCCAAAACCACTATTTGATTATGAGAGACGCCGTAGTGGAGGAATCCGGAAATTTCGACCACCTGGCGTTCTTTAACGTGCACCCAAATCTGATTACACGGGCCTACCCCTTACAAAAATTTTTGTTGAGTGTCTGCTGAATGCCTGTATACAATTCTCAACAGAACAACCAGAAATCCTGATTAAATTGTGATGAGTTTTTTTGATGAGTGCTTGATGAGTTTCTGCATGTATTTGGCCACCGCGTTTCTGATTACTCCTTGGTTACTGCATTTGTGGTGCGTTCTTGATTACTGCGCTTCTGTTGCGTTCTTGGTTACTGCACTTCTGGTGCGTTCTTGGTTACTGCACTTCTGGTGCGTTCTTGGTTACTGCGCTTCTGGTGTGTTCTTGATTACTGAGCATCGTGTACATTCTTAATTACTCTATTTCTGCTGAATCTATGAGGTGTTTCATTAAGTCACAATTCTGACAATATCATGCTGAATATGTGACAACTTTGTGTCAACTTGCTTCTTTGCAAAATTTTTCCTCGGATCAGAAATTTCACCCGAGATCATAACAGCTAGGACCGCAAGACGGTACAGTTAAAGTTGGCTGGTAGTTATGCCATCCACTGCCTCTGCTGTGTACCCACAAATGTATGTAGGACTAGCATTTGCATGGATGACAGTAAGCAGGATGCAGTGTATTCAGCAAATCTTCCTTTAATATATTGTACATACATATAGTGTGCGCAGCACATCACCTCAGCTCTCGTGCCAACATCGACGACAAGCTATTTTTCAGCTGCAGTGTCGAAGTTACGAACTTGCTGCATGTGTAGCCTGCAAAAAATGTGAAAAAGTTGACAGTTTTAAAAAAAATAACTCCACAGCAGTAAATATTTGACATTGATTATCTAAATGGCAAATACTGTGCAGAATGGACCACTTTATGACTGTTCAAGCTGAACCAGGAGGCACTGCCCTACATGAATGGTGGCACATACATGCACCGTAAAACCTACAATAGGGTAAATCACAGTTAAAAACAAAAATTCAATTTGTTTTTAACCGGAATTTACAATATTGTAGGTCTTCATAGTTTTCATGGTTTAACAGAAGCTACCTTTTCATAAAGAGACTTAAAATATTTTATACTTAATTACTGCCTGCATTGCAGGACACCGTTCATGAATGGAATACCTAGCTGCACATCTTAGCGATCATGAGAACACACTGAACAAGGTGGAAAAAAAAGGGAATGTCACAAGAGCCAATGTTGCGACACATGGACTTGACTTGCCTTCCATCAGATCAACTTGTTGAAACACTACCTGTTCCAGATAGCAAAATTTCAACACTTGGGACAATTCGTTAAGTGCAACAAATGATAACGTAACTAGTCATTTTTACTAACTTATTTATTCACTACCATCTTGCAGCAGGTGACTTATCGAAGCTTGCCAGCCTGAACGAGGCTTTTCCCCCAAACTCGAGAATAGCACCCTTTTTATCCCTAACAAGGATGAGTTGGGATTATTGATGACGCAACAGCTAGTCAAATCTTGCATTTAGTAAGCACTTTCGTGACCTACAAAACTTTCAGCCTGGCATTTGCAATTTTGCCATTCTTTACAGAAGGCGTTATTACAACATGCCATCAGCAAAAATAATTCATACAGTGAATGTTATGCTAACAGAAGTCATGGCAATAGTGATTTGAACTAAGAAACAGATAAAAAATGGTAGAGCCACATTTTGCTTTCAGCCCCGCATACACACAACATCAAGACACAAATATGAAATCTGAAACAAGAATATGAGAAAAAAAATTTACATGGCATCATTAGTAACTCACCAATCACTGCGTTGACCCTGACTGGGTCCAGTGCCTCCTTTACTTCGGCATTCTTATTGGCGTTGCTGCCCTTGCCGAAGAGTGATTTGCCACGCATCTCCTCCAGAGTAAAAACACCCCGGAGAAGATGCCTGGCGAACTTTGTAGGCCCATTGCAGTGAGAATGGAGGCGCTCCAGGAGCGTTTTCTCAACCAAAACGCCTCCACCGATGTTAACCTGCATACCACAGAAAGCATCCGTTGAGCAAAAGAGCAGTTCCTTTCCACATAGCAAAGAACAACTATGACGTTTCAATTTTAACATCTGGGGTAAACAATTTTCGGCCACTGTTTCTTTTTTTTTTTTCAGCTGCTGTTTGAAACCACCACCTCAATATCGAAACAGAAACTGTCTTTTTTAAGGTGGTGGTATTAAAGATGTAATGATGTATTTCTAGGCACCATGATACTCTTTTCAGAGTTCTCGACACAAGCGCTTTTATTTACAGCAAAAATCCAATATATTTAAAATTCATGTCAGTACTCCTTCAACAGGCATATTACCAAATAGCTCAAGGAGTGATCGCAATCATTTTTCGAGACACAAAAACAGAAAGATGATGTCGCAAGATGGAATTCCGGCTGCAGTGGCAACATTTTGATGGTGGAAAAATGCTAGAGGCCCGTGTGCTTAGATTTAGGTGCATGTTAAAGAACCCCAGGTTAGTGGAATTCCTGGAGCCCTCCACTACGGTGTCCCTCATAATTATATGGTGGTTATGGGACCTAACATTTATTGTTATTGTTTTATTTTCACCTCCCATGCTTACCAGACCTTTGCTTTATTAGGGCCAGCCTATTTCATTTTCTAGTTGTAGCTGGATGAGTAATTTACTATCATTCCATTTTATGAACTAGTGCTTTTTAAAAACCTATACAGATATCCAGCTACTTCACAAAGGAAAGAAACAAAATCATGGGGATTGCTTTTAAATTGGAGACACCATGATCGTGTATTGACAATAGCACACGCATGCACACAAGCACCAACAAAGGAATGCTCTTTTCGGAATGTCTTATTTCGTCTAGCGTCATTAAAGGGGTCGTGAAAAGTTTTCCGAAAATTTTCAACTACATGTGTATTCGGAATTCTGGTCGTCCTTTCAATAATGAACACCGACTCGTTTCATCATACCAGTTCATTTAATAGTTATAAAATCACAATTTCGGTTTCCAAGCTCTCACGTCATCCTAAGTCAGCCAATGAGAATTTCCCGTCGCCGACAAAAGATGACGACGACTACGCCTGCTCAGCCATAGTTGACCGAGGTTTGCCGCATCATACTTCTTCCACTGTCGCGCCGGAGGCGCCCATGCGATCCTAATGTAGCAGTTAGTAGATCCACTCCGGGTGTTTGAAGCTTGTGAACGCGAACATCGTTTGCACTGCGATAACTTGTACGAGACTGTCTGACAATGCACACGGTTGGCACATCCAGGACTGAGCCAACCAACCAGTAAGAAAAAACTACAGCACTGCATCGAGAGAGCGAAGGCAACACGGAAAGCAAGATGGGCAAGAAAAAACATGTAACAGAGCCGGGCAGGGCGGAGGCCCGGATGTACTTGAAAGCAGAACCAAGCAGATCACTTGCTGTAGCTGCACAATATGCAACTCGGTGTGCAAACCAGTGGAGTTATTTCTTTATTTTCTAGGTTTCCATAAATCTATCATTTTTGAGCAAAATAAAGCTAACGCTGTGTTTACAACTTGTATTAGGATGACGTCACACGTCAGTGCTTATGGCGGCCGGTGAACCCAAGACAACTGCGAGTTCAAACGGGCGTCATTAATTATAGACTGAATATTACACCGAAATATTTCAGAATCGGCATGTCTAATCCGTATTGGAGCAGAAAAAATTACAACCAGGCAGCTTTATTTTCTTTTCACGACCCCTTTAACAATAGAAAACATGCACAAGTTAACCCAACAGCAAGTGCTGCTGAAGTACCATGATCAGCAATGCTGCTATGTTCAGATGAAAAAAAAAATACTGGGCAAAATAAATATCATTACAGGGTTTTATGTGGAAAAACCACGACAACCGAGCACTGACAAGACAGACTGGGGCAGCAACTCCTATTTCATTGGTAGCGCAACACACACATTGTGAACATTCTAAGCTTAGGCCTCAGTACAAGCCCGTTGGGTACAGTTTCAATAGCCAGAGTTAACGTTTATGGCATCTTGAGATCAATTGTGCTGCACAAGATAGCGTGCCACAGAAGCAACAAAAATAAAAACAAATTTTTTTTTTTTTTTTTTTTTCAAAATTAGGAATACTCGCCCTTTCGGCTTCAACAGCAGGAGATGGGTCTTTCTCAGTCTTCCTCAAGATTTTTCTCAACTTTTTCACCATGTCATAGGAGTCTAAGGGAGCACATGAATGCAATCACGTTAATCAAAATGCTTGCACAAGTGGTAATTAAAGTAAGGTTTGGTCTGCAGTAAATGAAATTGTGGAAGCAATCTTGAATGTTACCGAAGAAGAGCAATGAAAATTCAGAATGTTTCACCTTTAGAGCACTTTGAACAGCACTTTGTTGCTCTGCTACAAGGATAACGATGTGATTTGCAACAGTGACCTAAATAATGAACTTTTTGTGCTCCAGTTCTAATTCATCAAATTGACAAACACACTGAGATGGACAGTAACATATCCTAGAGAGAATGTGTAAAAAAAGAAAGACGTTTTGGACATTTGTTAGTGTAATTACAGTAAATGATGAACAATGAACTAAGGTGCTGCTATCAGTATAAACAACAAGCCTATTGGTGCCATACCTTTGTGTCTTAGTTAGTAGACCATCCCTTCATGCCTGCCTTACACAGCAGCTTTGAACAAAGGGTGTGGTGTTCTTGTGAACAAGAATGATATTAAGGTAACAAATGATTAGAATGTAGAGGTGACATGCCTTGTCAACTGCAGAGTCCAGCAACAAAACACAAGTCGTGTTAAAGCATCTTTGTTCCTTTCATATGAACATTAGTTAGAATGTCATGAGTGCACATGCAAGAGTAGGAGTCCTTTATCCAAACAGCAGCACATACCACTGTCCACAGTTGTTATAAAGGGAATATACTAGTAATCACTGTACAACTTAATGCTCCTTAAATGGCGACATTTTCACAACATAATGTAAAAACAGTGCGTACAAAATGTTGCTGTACATAGCAAAGCAGAAGTTTGATGTACCACTTGTAATGTCTAAGGTAAATAAATTTTAGTTTTGTTCTTTTTATTATGAGTTTCAGCATGACACGGCATGCCAGTAGCATTATAACTACCTCTCAGTTTTCAAAGCCAAAGAAGTTCTTCATATGTCTAGTGTTTCTATACCTAGTCACCTCTATCCGACATGTAAGGTTGAGTCAGTTTATATATGTACCCGATTAAAACAAAGTTTCACTTTAAAGGGAGAAACTAGTTCACCCATAAAAGCATGCATAAGTGCAACTTAGAGGGAGAAACTAGTTCACCCATAAAAATATGCATAAGTTTAATGGCACAAAGTTGAATGTACAGTGTTTTTTCCAGCCTGTACGATCGGATGCACTCATCACATGGCCATAGTAGGTGCTGAGAGTTATGATGGGAAAGGTGGTGCACAAATATGTTTCACAACGAGGCACTCAAGGGCGAGGAAACATGAGGAACGAATAAGAAATCTTCGAAGGGTTCCACATAACAAACCTAAGAGACGTGTCAGTGACACATCGTCGTGCCTCTCCAATAAATAGTGAACGTTCCTTAGAGCCACAATAGGCAAATAAACAATTATCAATAGAGTGTTGGGGTTGAGGATTCGGCTAGTTGGTTCATGGTTGCAAAGAAGGGGAAAACGCGGCTAAATTTTTAACAGGACACAATGAAGCCCAGATGGCCTTCCTTGTGTCCTGTCGCATATAGGCAAATAAAAATCAGTTCAGTTCAGCACTTTGGTCGTCTAGTCTTCTTTAAGTCCTGTCAAAAATTCAGCGATGTTTTCCCCTTCTTAGCAACGGCTGTTTGCACATGTACCAGGTGGGTGCCAGAAGGTATGCATTGGTGTTTGATGTGATCAACATTTCTAATTGTAAATGCGAGTTTGTCCTATTGCTGTCTTCTCAATGTTCATGTTTTCCGCAGGCGTTTACACATTTTACAATGTACGAACTGGTTCAGCTTACCACCTTGCTAGATGCAAGGTTAGGCACCTCTTGCATTTCCTCAGGCAGTTCCATGAAGGAAAAGTTTATAAAAAACTGAGTTTTGGCAGCAATGTGCACTGCCTAAATACAGATGGCCAAGCTAGTTTACAAATTAGTTGCACCATCCAATAGCCATTCAAGCTTGATCAACAAAAGAAGAAAAAAGGGCTAGAGGCTGCTTACCAAGCATGTTTTCAGCAACTTCTAGCCGCTTGCGCAGCTCCCGGACCTCATTTTCAAGCTCTTTGACCTGCTGTGAGGCACTGCAGGCACACTGAGCACCAGCCTGAGTAGGGAACTTTTTTTGAGTACATGGCTTCCTCTACTGCCACAGCATCCACATGGAAAATTGACTAGCACACAATAAGCTGCTCCTCTACTTGATCTGAAACCTACATGTGCAATTGTGAAAGCCTTGCATGCACAATTACAACCACAGTGGAAACCTGCGACTAACAACAGTAAAAATATGTTGCATATACAGACATTCAGCATGCACGACAGCCAGAACAGCAGGGCTATAGGGACGAACGGATATGACTGCTGGGAAACACAGAAGTGAATACAAATGTTTGAAGAGCGTATAACAAAGCAAAATGAACTCTCATTTCGCAGAATTATCAGCTTTCAAAGCTACAATACCTTACAACTCATACAAAACTCACAGTTGTGATCACAAGTATAGAGGCCACGCAAACGTGTGGCAGTTTGCAAGTGCGCACCGTCTAACGGCTGGTCACCTGCTGTCGAGAGTATGACAGTGCACACAGACGGCCATTCTTTCCAGCTGGCCTGCTTGCTGCAATCTATAGCGGAGGCTGATTATTGGAATTAGCGATTACTGCCACCAGTAATGCTGATGGCACAGCAGCCATGGTCCAAATCAACCCTTTCCTAATAAATGGAAATGTCTCCTAGCAACGGGATTCGAGATGCCTGCCAAGCAGGCAACATTTCATCGTTCATGTTAAAGGGAGTGCTTTATATATGTGGCTGTACATGCTCTCATAGATGTGCTTGTTGCTCTCCGAGGTCTCTTTAACAGATTCCAGATGTGGCGTTGCAGTAGGCCATGGAGAAATAAATCTACTATTTGCTCTTTCCTTGACCAGCACTCGTGGTGGCATGCTTGCGGAAGCTTAACCGGCAATACACAAAATCCACTGCATACCTTTCGCTGTGTAAGTTCAAAGATAGTGTTTGTGCGCTAATAGAAAGACGTCATGGCACAGTTAAAATACATGAACATGAAAATACATCAAGTGAGTGGCTAGCACTTTTTCCATAGTGAAGTTATGCCAGCGATAGCAATCTGCAACGTTTCAATTTTATGTAGTTCGGAACCAGCTCAGAGATCGGACCAAGAAGTTTGAGGATGCTGCGCCGCTGCTTCATCATGCAAGACTACCGGTGGCAAAATCCACAAATGCCCAGATTCAGCCCACGTGCCAGCGTGCAGCAAGCAAGCAAGCAGGAAAGCGAGATAGAAAGGCTGCGCATGTGCACTGTGAGACTCTCGACAGCAGGCAATGAGCCGTTAGATGGCGTACGCATGCACACTGCCACATGATCGCGTGGTCTCCAAACTTATGATCGTGACTGTACATTAACTATATTCTGTAACAGTGGCAGGTCACACAGTTATTTTATATGTAGCCTTTTCAGTCTCGATTTACAATGAACTGTTTGTAAGTATTTGAAACAAGGATATTTTAATAAAAATGTGATACAGAAACTAGAGCAGAAAATATTGATTCATACAACAAACATTTAGGCCAATTTAGTACGCTCACCATAATTGGAAAAAGATTTTTTCAAGGCCCTTGGGGACTTAACGAGCCCCTCGCCCTGGTAAGTCACTAAAGTACAGTTGTAAACTAAATACTGCTGTCCAATAAACACCTTAACAATTGAATCAACTGGGGCAATTTACTTTGGAAAGAAATGCGCAATGTTTTTAGTGACGTGCACCAACACATTTACATTCCCTCAAACATAGTGGAGTCTTTCTAGCAACTGCCTTTTTCTGTACTGTTTGGCACAACGAGTGTCATGGTATCAGCAAATGTTTCCTTGAAAGCGGTGAGATGCGAGTGCAGTGCATTCGGCACTCCGGCACTAAACTCTACCAAAAGGCAAACAAGAAGCCGCAGGTAGTTGTGTGAGCCATTTCAACTAGCGCTGTGTATGCCTGTCTGCGGACACGACTGACAGACGGCGCAGTTCGCACTGTATTCGTCGGGCGCGCGCGCACGCACACACACACACACACACACACACACACACACACACACACACACCACACACACACAACTCGATGCGCTAGTCGTGCTTGGCCCGCACGGCAATTAAAGTTAACACAGAACTCACCTCGTTCGGCGCATTCTCCTCTCGAGGCACCTCCTCGACACTGTCCGAAGCCGTGCTCGCCGACCGCACCAGCCTTGTTCGCCGGCGCTCCATTGTCCTTTCTAACCCTACATTAAGCAGTCTTTAGGCAACAGAAAATACTTTACAGCGAGAACTCATGAATAGTGGCATTACTTACCGAAGTCCAGCAACTCGGCGTCCGCCGCCGGCTCGCCCTCCTTCCAATTTACCGCTACCACGGTGCCGCGTAAATTTACAATGGCATTTGCGTCCTTCAGCAACTGCAGACTTACGCTGGTGTCCACAATCGCTCGGACGTTGTACACATCCCACAGTGAGGACGACACCCACTTAACTAAAATATGGCTCATGTTGTGCTATCTCTTCCTCAGTCTCACACCGAACGACCGAATTCGTAGCAACGCACAAGCTATACACGCAGAGACCAAGCACTCGTTCCAACGTGCGCCACACGTGCTCCAAACCATGACCTACTACACTCCTGACCTGTTCAGATAGCGGGGTTCCTATGGGAGCGCGTGTCCCCGCTCTCGTTCAATCGCTCGCCGTAGGTGGCGCTACCTATAACCTGTTCGTCTGCTACTTTACGGCTGTTTGGACGGCGCTAGAGTAAGAACGGCTGCATTCCGTGATGAACAGCCGGCATATATGTGACTATTTTTTCACTTAGATGACTGGTCAAGTAAGCTGTTCAGTGTGACGAAAAATTTATTGCACACTGGTGGACAAATGCGAGAATCCGTAGACTTACATAGTGTAGGACAGCATATGTGATGTTGCGTCCATTTAATTGCAAAGAATTTGTGAATGACTTTTGAAATATTTGTTTCAAAATTATTTTTCATTAGTGCATAATAATTACGCAATATGAGTGCTCTGTTGGCCGAAATATGACCACGAACACTGAAGCTGACGTCAGCGAACAGGTGCTGACTAGCGCCACAGTGCTCGTAGGTGACGGCCCTAGCGGCAGAAGGTATGAACTAGAACGTGGGCGCTGGAAGAGGTGCTCTCTGGGCAGGTCAGGAGTGTAGTAGGTCATGCTCCAAACAACAACTCCTACGTCACAGCAACAGTATCGGAAAGGTTTGAGAGGCAGTTTCGAATCGTTGTGTCGCACGTACATTTTGCAAACGTATTTGTAATAAAAATAATCATAAACGTGTTATTTGGTTAGTTTTAATTTAGTATGGTAAATAGTACTTATATAAAAATATATAATACTGCACTCGTTTTTTATAATGGAGGTTACAGACTCACACTGGGCCAAGTCTAGCCAATCCACAACTCTCTGTTCAGAACGAGTGCAGTGCAGGAGAATAGCGTGACAACGATAGATGTTCTCTGACAACGTTGCGAGGAGACGATCGTATTGATAACTCTTCGGTCCTTAAGGTTTTCTGGTCTTCCATGGAACGGAAGCGAAATACAACCTATATATTTTGGACCCAACGCACGACGTTCCTGTGCGTTCCAAGCACCGTTCGAAGAAGACAGTTTCATTGGACGCTTCGCCGCTACCCACACTACAAAATGGAAGTGCTCAATCGCCTGATTAGTCAGTGTAGTTGCAAGCGAAGAAACGCTCTGTGACCGCAGCCATCCTCCTGTGAACGATGACTCCGACTGTTCTGGCAAGTCCGTGGAAAGTGCGTGTATCAAGTCACCCGACCCAACTGATGTCGACTCGCCGAACACGGATACAAGCAGCGAAAGTTCGGACGCGGAAACGAGTGGAGATGAAGCGCACGCATGTGAGCCATCAGACGGAAACGCCGATATGGTGAGGCTTATACCAGTGTCACACGGTCACTTTCGATCGTAATTGGGCCGGATCTGGATGAAATTTCTTGGTCGTGATATGCTCGTTTACGCAAGCTACCGAAGGAAAACTATCATAGTTGACAAACTTTTCCCGATCGCGCCTAATCACGATCAGGAGTGCACCGTGTGGCAGCGGTGTTTATTAGCATGCTTCTTCATTGTCGCCGTAGCTGCCAGTAGTCACTGAGCCGACTGGTAATGCGACTGTTATCTGCAGTGTAAGTGATGCCCGGCGGCGTTTGAATCATGCATGCGAACGCCGCCGAACGACTTGTACTCTCGTAAAGACTTAGAGCAAGTAAGCCGAAAAGCTCGCATATATCTATCTCTCGCTCCTCAGAGTGCTATCTCATACCTTTACAACCAGCGTTGGCTACGGTCTTTTGCTAATCTTGGCATAATTTTATTTTCACTTCTGTACAATGCGAAATAAATTTTCCCAAACAAGCCCCTGCGTGTGCCTGCTGTTGTAGCACACATAATCAGCTGTGCAAACGCTTAGCAAATTAAAACTGACATAGCTGTGCTCATTTTTTTGCTGTTTCAATGCACTGCGTTAATGAGACAGATTATCCCCTAACCTTCTTTGTTCCTGGAACCCATTTGGCAGTTCACCCACTACCCATTCGCCCTCCATCCGTGCCTGCACTCTTTTTATAATCTATAAATTCACAGCACCACCTAGTAAAAAATATGCTTTTTCACGTGGCATTGCTGTCCCTTTGGTATATGTGCAAAGGTGGTGTTTGACTGGTGAAAGCTTTAATGTATCAATGTGTATAGACACGGAGACAGGCATTTCTTTAATGGTAACAAAAATAGTCATCCATTGTCATAGCTGTAATTAAGCTGACGGGACATGCATGCTTGTTATGGACTACCATATAAGCGTGTAGTTTTTGTGTGCATGCCTGTGGTATAAACATTTTTGTTTCTTTGCATCTAACAGGACGAGGAGCTGTATCCAGGTTCGAAGATCACCAGGGCAGAGAGCATTTTGCTGATTATGGGCCACAGCCTCCGCCATGACGCGTCGAAAGAAGCCACCGAGAGCTTGCTTCAGTTATTGCGCGCTCATCTGCCGGAAAAAAACAGAGCTGCCTTGTTCAAAGTACAAATTTTTTAGACATTTCAGCTCTCCTGAGAGT